TTTTGCTAGTTGAAAAGGGACATTATTATGTTTTTTTGGATCTTATATTTATTTTAGTGAACTTGTATTGTATTTTTATCGTAAAGTATTATCCTAAAACGTTAAAAGGGCGAATAAAAAAATATGCTTTAGTTTGTTGTGATTTTACTTTTATTTTGTTGTTATTTAAATTTATAGTAAATATATTTAGTTTGGTTTAGATTTATTTCTAGTAAGGTATAAATATATATTGAATTAATAGTATAAAAGTAGATACTAGACTGGAAAAAATTATACGCGAAACCGAACCAAACCGTTAGGTTTAGATTTGAGTTTTTTTCAAACCGGTCAAAACGGTTTGAATTGAAAACTTGTCAAAAATCGTAAAAATCGGACCGCTTACACCCCTACTCTAATCCTAATAACAAAACTATCCATATATTTGTAAATCGTCAAGTAGCCACATATCCATTAGGTAGAGCTAGATTTCACTTTCTAACTTGAACTCATGTCCGATAATCTCAAGTGAAATTCATTTTTACGAAACTATAGAACAATTTAGCATAAATTAAGCAGTTTAAATAATTGAAGAAGCTATAGAAAATATCTTAAATTTGAGCACTAAAGTGCCAAAAAGGTGAATCTTTTTTCTTTTTTTAAATTGAGATTTGAATTGTAACATGAACCACAAAAATCAAGCAGCCAAAGAAAGAAAAAATGGGTTGTGGTCATCAAACTTTAAGAAAATTGACAGCATCTCCCATGTTTTCTTTGCTATTCCACGTGTTGGCACTAGGTTGACTGATGACCTGTCAAAGATTCATGGATAAGATGAAAATGTTTGAAACTTACGTGTCAAACAAAAGATGACAAGGCATTCTTGGTGAAAAATAGTACCACGTGGATCTAAACATAAGATTTCTGCCACTGAACGAGCAAACCAAAAACCCTGAATAATTACTCATTCTTGTGCACTTGGATAAGACCAATGTCACTTCACTCACCAACAGCATTTTTCCATTTCTCTTGGTTGAAATCATTACAAAATGATCATCTTAAATCCACAAAAAATGATTTGGAGTATGTGCACAAATTTCTATTCTCAATCCAAAAGGTAAGAAACATTTCTCAAATTCGTTGACTTTTATAACATATTTAATGTGTGACGCATTATTAGTATTGAATAGTATTGTTTAATCTAATTTACATTAAACTTATCATCAGAGTATAATTCTTTTACAATCTATGAAATCTAGAACTCGTTCGGCAGACTTTAGATTTTACTTCTATTTCTAAATGAAAAGTTTCGTGAGAAAGTTTTCTTAGATTACTTTTCCTCCAAAGCTCAATAAAGTACTTCCAAAAGATTATCCAAATATATTTAAAAGAAACTTTTTAGTCAAAAAACAAAGCTTACGACTTTTTAAAATTCTTGTCAAATGGGCACTTAGACGATATAATGTTTGACTCGCTAGACATGGAGGAAAGTGTACCTGTATACTTGCATACTGTGGTGGAAAATGTACGTGTATGATTCTAACTTCGATTAAATGGGACGAGTAACGTCCTAACAAACCCATCTGCAGACTGCAATTGCGGTGTATAAAGTCAAAAATGAAGAAAGATCACTCACTCGTATGTTCAATACCTTCACTTAGAAGAGATGCAAAACAGACAAATATATAAGGAAAATGCTATGTGACCGTGAATTCAAGGGACACTTTACAAATTGAGTCTTCCATCTGCCACAAGTTCATAAGCAGCCAATCCATCTGGCATATAGAAAGGTTGGAAAAGTTTCTAACATGACGTTAGTCTAGGTTTCAAGCACAATACTGTGCAATATAATAGTATTATTTAGGTCTTGTTTGAGCCTCATTATTTGGCAAAGAATGCATTTTTGAATAGCAGTTGATGAAAAATGTGTGGTAAAAAAATAAGAAAAAATTTGGATTTGTGTGTAATATTATTTTATTAAAGGTTGTGTAGTCGAAAAAAAAGGAGAGAAAATGTATTTTGAAAATAATGAGAATCAATCAAGAGCTCAATCCATAATTATGATGTTAAAGAAAAATGCAAAATATGAAACAAGGACATAATTATCATGTCCTTATAAAACACCATGTTACATGTACATTGAATACTATATCTTTGCTCTCCATAAAATATAAATGACTAGGAGAAGACAATGTATTTTTTTCGAAAAAAAAAAAAGTTATCTAACACCAAGGGGAAACAAGGAGAGATTATAATTTAATAGTGAAAGTTACGAGTTCGACCCTGAAATCACGTAGGGGGTAATAAGTGAATAACGCGAAATTAAAATTTAACGATTTACTTTTTAATTGTTCTAGATGTTTGGTCAATCAAATCAATATTATCATATATTGAATTGGCACAATAATAAATAAAATAGTGAATAACACAAGATTTGTTGATTGAGAAAATCCTTTCCAAAATTAAAAACTCTGGACCAAGCCAATAATTTTCACTATAGATAATAAGAACTTACATTATGATACAATCTAGAAAACCCACTAGACTCGCTGATCTAATTCATACGACTCCAAGACCTGTTGGAATGTGCTGCACTCACATCTGCTTCTGATATTCTGAAATGGTCTATCTCCTGTGGATCACCAAGAACACCTTATTCTTGTACTTTTCCTATACTTCTGATCCAACTCCCTCAATCTTCAGCAACTTCTGAAAACTATTGAGAAAGTATTTTCATGATTATATTTAGAAAGTGAGTGTTTTGGATTATTTGAATTTGATATTTTTCCCAATTTGTGGTTGATTGATCTCAAGAATCAAATATTTAATCTCAATGTTTGGATATGTTCTTGGATCTTGGAATGATGTTATGAGGATGTATTATAATGATCAACCACACACAAAAAAGTAATGGGCATTGGGTATTTATAATATGAGATATTTGGATAGAATATGATAGATGTAACTCTTGAAAATCGCGAACTAGAGTTTTACGTATAACATCATAGCTCGAGCGCCGGCGAGCGACAGGCTTGTCGCTCCAGTAATAGTCGGATGACAATGATTCTGTTTTGGATGCTCGAGCATCAGCTTGGTGGCAGACTAGCGTAAATCTGGTGACTCTTTTTCCATATTCCATACTTGAACCTAAAGACTTATAGTTCATTTATACAACACTTCAAAAGACTTCTTTACTTTTACAACTTTTATAATAATCATTTTGTTTAAATAATTGTCAATACAACTGAAAACCTAACAAATAGGAGGTATGAACTTCATCCAAATCTTGAGATAACATGACATTAGATATTCCTGATGAAGAAAAATGTGACTTGTGCATACAAAGAGATCGGTTCAGAAATACATGAAAATAGTAGTTCCACTTAGAATTCGAGCTAGTAATTAGATTATTTATTATAGGGACAAGTAGAATATTAGATAGTTTAATATTAAATTAAAAAAATAATAATTCGGTTTATAAATACATAAAAATATTAGTTCCAATCAGAACTCGAGCTAGTAATTAGATTATTTATTATAGGGACAAGTAGAATATTATATAGTTTAATGTTAAATTAAAAAATAAAATAATTTACATAGGCCACCAAAAATCTCCCAATGCTCTATATAACAAGACAAAAAACTTGGCTTACTCTAACTATCTAAAAACAATCTGCCTAAAATATGTTAATAAAATGCATAAATATGCCTCCAATTAGTAAATGGTCTCACCATGTTTGCTCAAACTGTTTGGCTGAGTCTTCTTGCTCTGCTGCAGCCACCACTGCCCTTTTTTGCTAAATCCTCCATTGTAATCGCAAAAGAATAGGGGCCTCGTACTCCTTGAAGGTTGCATTTTTACCTCTAGGAAAAGTCTTTTGAGTGTAATATAAAGTGTGTTTTCTGAACAAAATTTGCATTCTTCCACAAGACGATTCACCTTGTTGAACAAGTACGAGGGGGCCGGAATTTCCATATGGAAAGGGTCCCCATGAAGTTATTCAATCCGGAAGCAACTCATCCAACTCGAGCTCCTCATCCAAGCTGGCTTCATTATACGAGTCTTCTTGCTGCTTATTACTTGTATCGTCCTCATATTCAGGATCAGACCATTCCCGTTCATTGTCCATGTTTTGATCTTTAACAACTACATCCACGTTTCTCTTGTCTGGAACAGATACCGTACCAAGTTTTTGTGGACCTGGACTCATCTTTGCTTTAGCCTTGGAATCTTCACAGATGCAGGCAGTTGGGTATTCATGAAATTCCCCCTTCCCTGGCTTAATCTCCTTTGGCTCTCCCATAAAACCTTTTTGAAATGTACGAACATTAGAAGCGAATTCCTCCCAAGTCATGTTATCACGGTTCAGGAACAACTTGTATAGTTTTTTAGCATTTGGACGAATACTAGGTTTATGACCAAAATATCTCCTGCAAAAATTAGAAATAAACTCAGTCATGAGCAACTGACAATTATGATGGATTACACCAAAAATTAGGCAGGAAAGAAAATAGAAAATAGAAAGCATATACCTTCTCCCTGCTATAATTTTTGCCATATTTCCATTGTTATTGGTAACAAATACATCACTTTCGTCACAAACTATAAAGTCTAATGCAGCCATGCGAGCGGAAAATGCAGAAAATGGTTCCAACTCCTCCTTCCTTGATATTGTTTCTTTAGAATAGAAGTTAGGGAAAAGTGCCTTTAAAGGGGCCAGTGATTCTTCGCCTCTATATACTTCTCCAGATGCCACATATATATGAGTATCTCTCCCGAATCCAAGTGCTCTTAGCATCAAACCAACTTCCTCAGGAGTAAGAGGGCATCTTCCTTGCCTCCTCCCCCTATCTGGATTGCTATTCTGCAAATTGAATCACAATATATCTCATATATGCTTCATATTTCCTGTTAAATTATAGAACTTTTTGTGAAACTGGATATACAAATGAGCATGGTTCCTCTGCCTGCAAACGAGGAGACAGACTCAAATACACAATGAGACTATATTATTCAAATCCCTGCATTCAATCAGAAAAATACTTGTTTGCATTATTCCAACATGCGACAGCACATTGTGGTGATTGTCCTGGTACTTTTAAACTACACAAGAGAACAAAACACCTTTCAAATACATCCCCATAAATAAATATCTTAAATTGCTTAATGGTTCGAACAGTCATCGCATATCATATCCTAATTCAAATGGAAAACCTCGAAGTTGTTTGCAGCATTAAATTATTCCTTGTAGATGGAGGTACTGATTTAAACACCAATCTTTTCCCCGCTATCAAGAACTTGTCTTAAAAAGCCAAATGCAGAAAATTTAAAGAAATAACAAGGACATGGAAGAATCAAAGATGCTGGAAGTGTAACAAAGATGACCAACCTCACCAACATATCTCTGTTTTTTCAAATATATATCACAAGCATCACTCAATCTGATTTACATAATTTGATCTTCAAAAATAATATATGAATACTTACATGTAATGTTTTCCACCTCCTCCGTAATTTACCCAGTTCCCTCTTCTCCTCTTCTCCTCCACCATAATAACATCCAGAGAATGCAAGCATATCAGGTTCAAACCTGTAAACAGAAAATCTGACCTGAGATACTTTCTCATCTTTGTTATTCTTTGTTAAAACAACATATTAAGCAAAAAAGTCTTCCTTGTTAAAACAACAAATCAAAGAACAGACTTTCTTGTTAAATAACCATATTAAGTTATGGTGATAAGCAGGTTGAGATCAGCTTCTTAAAGCCAAAACTCGTAGAACTGCAGAATATTCTTACACAATATATAAGATGACAGTGGGTTCAATTATTTTTCAAAACAAAGCAAATCTGTTTTCAGTCTGCAAACACCTTGTCCCAAACAGGAATCTGTCTTTTGAAATGACCGTTCAAAGAGAAGTGAAGGGCTTGAAATAGAAATCAGAAGACCACAGAAGCAAGGATCGTCTCACTACCTTAGGTGAAGAGCAATATAACGCTTGCTCGTGATTCTCATTCTCTTCACTAATTTTGCTCCCATTTCAAGGATGGGGTTAGTGAACTTCAAAGCATGGTAATTGACTCGGCATCTAAGCTTTTGCAGTTCTGCCTTCAACCTATTAGAAAGTCTATAGTCAAATTTTGACAACTGCACAGCCTGTCACAAAAGTATACCATACATTACTAGCTTGGAACAACAATAATCTAACAACAAAAAAAGTAGAATATAGTTAAAAGGAGAGAATTTCAAAAGGTCCTAATTCCAGAACAAGGACTAATTCTAGTATACTAGTACTTGACATTTCATTGTAGGTCATCAACACGAAAAACCATTGTTCAACTTTTTGATAAAATGAAAAAAACCAACAGCTCTGCATGATATACCTACCCTAACTTGAATGTGGGAAATAGGGAGGCAGAAAATGAGGGTTGGTATAGATATTGGAAACTGCAAAACCTTTTTGGCCAAAATTTTAACAAAACTATGCATCTCTGAAAGTCTAGCTCAAAATACAAAATAAATAATAGTCATCAATGGTACAATAACACAATGGTAAGACATAAGTCACGGTTAGAATATCAATTAACTGTCATACCATTCCTAGTAGTCAAAACTAAATGTTGAACTAAGAAAGTACTTAAGAGGCCTGGTGGATGGAAGTTAATTCCAGTTCCAATAAGACAACAAGAAGTGGCTCTTAAAAGGGTTCCACATATTATCTCAGTTTTCCTCTTTCAGATTTCACTCCATTACTACTATCTAAATAGATGAACTTCATCTACTAGAGACTAATATGATAAATGTGTAAAACGGTTCAAAGTCTTCAATCTTCAAATGCACCTAAATTTGAAGCAGTATCATGTTGACATAGAAGCAGTATGCCGCTGTGTCAGAGCTCTCTCCCTACGTCACAGTTTAGAAATCAACACTAAGAGCTGACACCTACAAATGCCATACGGTGACACAATTATGTTTGAAACATGGCATCCATCTCAAATTCTTGGTCATTCACGTTTATAACTAAAATGTATACATGAGAAACATTTAATTGACACATGATAATTGGACAAAAAAAATATTGTAAGTTACAACAATTTCATTGTGCATCTATTTGCATGACAATGGTGTATCTTCCAACTGAAGTATATAACAGAGAAAGAGCTCATTTTAGGTTAAAATTTTAAGCAATCCACTAGCTTACGTGCTTCTTTGTAAGTACAGGCAATAGACGCTTAATATAGCATCCTTCATTGCACTTTCGTGGAACTCGCATGTTATGTGGAGTCCATATCTGCTCTCTCTTTGGTGGAAGCTCTTTAATGATTTTGACATCTTCTGCTAGATATGATATAAACCAATCAACATTGAAGATATCCGAAAAGTTGCTGCAGAAGAAAGAAACATTACGAGCCTAGACAAAATCATCGCATTACTAAAGCTTAGTCAAACAAAGTTTCCAAGAATTTACCTATCATCCTTCCAGAAAGATCTTTTGTCCAGCTTTGGGACAACAAGAGTAGCATTCAGGATGCGAGCAGCAACAACAGAATCAGTTATCTGCCAAATGATACGCAACATCTTAAGATTTAGAACTTAGCATTGAGATCTATAGTATACTTAATACATTTGTAGAAAAGAAATAAAATGGTCTACTAAGATCGTCCATTATATGTACCTTTATCTTTCTCGAAAATCAATGCCTAAAAGCATTCACTAAGAATAGAGGACATATGGTTAAGGACAAAAAGCAATTTACGAGAACTACATTTCAGCATATAATGCTTTAGATATAATATAACACCTAATGACTGGTAAGGTGTACTTTGCAACGCTAGACAGTAATAAGAAAGTAACAATGAACTAAAATCTTATATATTATAGCATTGAGTCTAACATGCCAAACATGCATCAAGTGCATATCTTCGCTAAGCATGGAGGGAAGGAATTATAGAACAAAAGCTACCACAAGTTCCATTATCTATGAATGACTGGGAAAAATCCAGCTTTATCAAATAATTGTACACGTGAATGGTTCCAACATGACATGTTCAATGCATGCAATATACAATAGCATGACTGACTATGTTCATGATGCATCTCTGGCATCTAGGATTTGATAAGAAGGTGACAAAACACTAAAATGTCAAAGGAGAATGAAATATCACCCATCTAAAAAGCATAAAACTTTCAATCCACTATGTAAGTATTTACCATCATAATCACCAGACTTTGTATGTGCAGGTCTGGTCAGAGATAATGGAGATAAGTTAGTTCATCATTATATGGTTCCAGAGATAACTCTTTCTCATAGAGATTCAATACTGAAGAGGCTCTCTACATGAAAAGAACAAAGAAAGCAAATGCAGAAAACTTATCTGTCTAATTCATCTTTTGTATGTAAAGAAAAGATGCAGATCCCAACACTATAGCATTAGTGCGAATATGAGTGTGATAGTTGATTGTTAATAACTCACAAGTTTCTTAGTTCTAACAATTTGGAGTTGAATTCAATTGTGCAAAATAACAATAAAGTCTTAAGCTTTGCATAATCAATTAACCACTCTCAAACAAGAAGGCAAAGAAATTATAAGGCAATTTTCCCTTCCAATATGTAGATTGATGGTCATCAAATATTCATAAACTCCTCCATAAAAAATGAATAAGAAAACATGTATTCAGGAAAACATACCCCAGTTCTTTGTTGGTTTAAACCTCCACTGGTTGCAATTGCCAGGTAACGATTAGGCTGTGTGACGTCTTCAGATTCTATTATTAGAACAGCAATATTTGGCCAATGTTCAGTAAAATGATCAATTGAAAGTACAAGACGGAATAAAATCTCAATAAGCAAAATACATTCTAAAATCAACAAATAAAACCTAAAAATAACAGCATAGAAGCGTACCAAATTATATACATGTATGCATGTATGTGTCAATGAGAAAGGAAGTTAAAAGCTGTAATGAGGTTCACGCACTTGCAAATTTACTGCTTGCATTGCTGCATCCATTGTAAAATTGTGCGTTTTTTGAACTCCAAATATCACGATCATATACTCCTCCATTGATCTAGATCCTCAGCACCCAATTCATATCACATTTAGAAAGATATAAAACTAAGATGCAATCAACTAAATCCAACCATTAAAACAAAAGGAAACAAATTCAGATGAAACCCTTACTGGCACACGAAAAACTGGCATTTCATCCGCTTCATTAACGTCATAATTCCTCTAAAAATAACAAGAAGAAAAACCAATGTAAAAATGCATTTGCACATTAAAAAGAACCCATTATTCAATGACATAGATGAATAAATAAATAAAATCGAAAGGGCAAAAAAGATACCGTGAAATAGTGTTGAGAACGATGGAGAAGATCATTGTGGACAGGAGAAGGCGCGAAGAAAGAGAGAAAAATGAAGAGAAGGAGAAGAACTGAGGAAATGGAGGAGATGGCCGGGATAAGATACCGCACACGGCTGCAGTACTGGTGGCGCCGCCGTAGGTTAGCCATGTATGATCGCGCGAATATTGATTGATTATTAATCCCTCTAACAGCATAGAAAAGAGCAGATAATTACCATTAAGGAAGAAAACCGAAGGAAGATTCAGTTTTGAATTATTTGAAATTTGGCATTGGAACCAATTTCAATAGCGACAAAGATTCCAGAATTCAGCTATTGAAATTTCAGGCGCCAACTCTGTTGGGACAGGTTGTTGGAACACGATATGCCGACCAGTTAAATCCGGTCCGGGACTCCCCAATCATATCCTGTGCACGTGGCTATTGCACTTGTTTGTATTGGGTGAAAATTGTTTTTTGTTTCAAGTACATTTATTTGAGGCAAAATTGCATTTCAACCTCGAAAAAAGAAAAGAGATGAGAGCATTTTCGCTTTGACTTTCTTCCTTATTGATACCGTCAATTTCCAACTAAGAAAATTATTTATTGGTGAAATACAAAAATGAAATCCAATTAAATGGTCCAAAAAATGAAGCTTAATTAGAAAATTTGAAGGATAGACTCAAACCCAAAACGGAATTATATAATGGAGACCCATCATCGCCAAAGCCTATGGAGGCTTATCATCGCCCAAATCTATGAGACGCCTAAGATCTGAGCGAGCCTGTCATCGCTCAGGCTTGCATGACGCTCAAAATCTGGACGAATATAGTGTTTTGGTTACTGTTCGAAGCAACGGTTATTAAAACAGTTAATGAGTAATCTTATCACATTTCACGATCCAAGAATCTCGGTTGCAAGAAGATAAGAGATGGGGGTAATGGCAGCGATTGAAAACTGTAATTCATCTACGATGGAGAAAGTGGGTAGTTACAAGATGATTGGCAGTTTTCAGGAGTTTCCAAACGATTTTACAAGAGAAACTGTCAAAAGAGTATAAAAGAGAAAGAAGAATCAACAAGAGAAAGAAAAATATAAAAACAACTTTTAAACAGAGAATTATGTAATTTTATTTCTTAGTTAACTTTCAATTATTTTCTTATATAATTCGTGTGCTTGTGCCCATTGGAGGCATTTTGTTTCGTTCGTATTGTAATCTTTATCAATAAAACACTAATCGTTGGAACTTTGTCTCGAGAGATTATTGTTCCTTATACAAACGTCAAATCCATCTTTTAATTGTTAACGATTTCCACGCGAAACAGTAATATAATTAAATATAAATAATCATATAGTGTAANAGTAATATAATTAAATATAAATAATCATATAGTGTAATTTACAATAATTATCTTAATGTAGGTTCTCCAATATAAGTAAAAATTGATATGCATTATAAAATTGTAGAAAATTAGTAAGAATACATATACGTAAATTTTTTTATAAAAAATAAACTAATTTTTCAAAGATAACAGAATTTGAAATACTCATGATTTTTTAAGTTGAATAATGTTCCTTGGCTAAAGTCAATGACAGGAGGTGAGGTGATGTGATGTGAGGTGACATGACATGATGCGATTGAGTGTTATGTTGTGTTTTTTTTCTTGTTTTGCCAAATTGTTCAATCATCCATTGATATGTATTCCTTTTGTCATTGATTCTGTCATTGTAGCAAGATTGTTTTAAGTTGTTACGTATAGGGGTGGGCGAGGGTCGGTTCGATTTTTTCGGTTCTAGAAATTTTCAGATATTTAGTAAATGGAACCGTCGGTTCCAAATATAATTTTGGAACCGTTCGGTTTCGGTTCGATTTGGTTCTGTTTGGTTCCGTTCGATTCCTTACTATAATTAAATTTTTTAACATT